CGCCTTCTGGGTGAGGAGGGAACGGTCGTCATGGAGGCGCCAGCGGCGACGATGACACGTCCCCTGATACACGAGCGGGAGACGAGTTCGACATCGTGGTCGAAGAAACAGTGGTGGCCAGCGCCCAGTGCCTTGAAGAGGCACTCCTTCTCTTCGGGGTCGCCTACTACGTCTTCAACCAGAAAGTGTCCCGTGCATCGCGCTCCACGATGTGGTTCATCGTCCACGACATCATTGGGCTGCCGGCAGAGTCAACAGCGACGGCGGACGCGCTGAAAAAATCTGTCGGTGCTGACAACATAGTGTGCCCGCGCGCGCGCAGTGAGGTAAGCCCAGGGGCGGAGTGGAGACGGAGTGATGGACGGAGATGATAGAGACGGACGTGATGGCCCGCCCCACAGGGAAAGGGGTCACAAGCGGCATGGGCGGGCCTGTTGACATCCTGTGGCAGCCCCTGGGCTACGTTGTCGGACTTTCTTGAGGTCAGGGAGGGGGAACTCGTAGGAGCCACACGCTCAACTTTCGTTGTGTAGCAAAGGTGGGAAAAACCACGCCATTTGAAGGGGCACCGGTTGTTTTGCGACTCCTTCGTAAGAGTCGCAAAACAACGGTCATCGTAGAAGAGCCAGCGGCGCTTCTCGTGTCATGTGTTTTTTTACAGCCTGGATCTCAACATGTGATATGACATTTGTTATTTGTTTGTTATGGTATGAGGCGTGTGCGTGACGTATGTTTAACCCGGCAGGCGGTGGGCCTACCAGCCACCTTCCGCGCGGTGGGGGGGGGGCACTTTTTTGCCCCCCCCCCGTATCTCCGAAACTACTGGACGGATCCGGAAAATTCAAGCGGCGTTCGATAGCCCTGTCAAATTTGTCGTAGGAAACCAAATTTCATTGACCTCGGGGTCACCGATGACGTCACAGGTCAGGTCAAAGATAAATGTTTCACCGTTCACGGGGCTTCTAGGGAATGCGCTATAACACCGAGTAAAACGCATTTTGTCGAAAATCAGCGATAAGGCGTCAGTTGTCTAGTACATGTGTTGCTATTAGAGGTCACTGGTCATACCAGGTCAGGTCACAGGTCAGGTCACCAAAGGTCACCAAGGGTCACCACATGAGCCCAACTTTACTAGGGTTATGCGATGCATGTTTTATAGCCAGTTTTTCATTTCCAACTCAATGGTGTTGGTTATAAGACTATCAGATAAGGTTTAGGTCACTTTCTGGTGGATGTCAGGTCAAGGTCAGGTCAAAAAAGGTCAAATTTCAAAGTTGATATTTTTGCATAAAATGGGTATCGATTCGATGCAGCTCGTCACGGGGAGTCTAATGGTGGTCTTTGTTTTGCGCTACGAGGTCTAGAATTGCTAAAAATTGAGTTTGAAAATTTGACGTCATCAATTTTGAGCAGTTTTTTCGCTATAACTTGGCCAAAAAAAAGAGGTATCGATCTAAAATTTGGTATGTAGATAGAAGGCGGTAGGGGCTATCACATATATTCCGGTTTTTTTCGAAATTCAAAAAACTTTTTGGATTTTTTGGCTATTATATTCAAAAAATCAATTTTTTGATTTTTGGGGGTCAAAATCCAAAAAATTCGAAAAACCGAAATAGCAGTTTTGTAGCCCTTTTGATTCCACACCTTTTATGTCCAAAACATTTTTCTGTATCTCTAAAGCTGTAGGCCTGACAGCTCTTCCCGCGAAACCTTTTTTTGGGTCGAAAACGGCAAAATTGACGTCACTCTGACGTCATTAGCGGCCAACCTATCATAGCCTTTGGAAAAATTTTTGGTCACCATGTGCGCTAGCTGCTCCCGGGAGGGTACTGAAAGTTTGGTGACGATCGGCGCAGCGGTTGTTGAGATATATCGAAAAAACTAAAGGGGGGGCAAAAAATTGCCCCCCCCCCCACCGCCTGGAAGGTATGGATAGTAGGTATGTATGTACAGTCTGTCTTAAAAGTACCGCGCAAAGTGACGGTGGATCCATCAAGCCTGACCGAAGAAGAGCCTGCTATAATTTGAAAGTCACCGAACCAATTGACCTGGGGAGTGGTTGGTCGAGAATGTCAATTGCTTCGGTGATTCAAATTTAGCAGGCCCTTCCTCGGTCAGGCTTGATGGATCCACCGTTACCTTGCGCGGTACTTTTAAGACAGACTGTACAAATTGAATGTCTCTTGGCAACTAGGAAGCTGTGATTTTGAAATGAATGCAGAGGCAGTTGTCTTTCCAATCAATACAGTACGTTTTTCTTATACACACAAGCGTATCGTGGTTGCTGTTGGTGTGGCTGAGCGTCGATGGCATGGGCGGATCCAGGAAATTCAGAGGAAGGGCGAAGGTGGTTACATAAATGGCGTCTCTTACCTTTGTGTGGGTAAAGAAATCAGTGCGCTAGGTATCTCATGGGGATCTCACGAGGAATAGCATGACCCCGCGAGCCCATCCCTTGATCCGCCACTGCGGAACGAAGCATCAATGGGGTATATAGAGAGCATCAAAGGAGCATCAATGTGGTGCATAGAGAGCATCAAATCAGCATCAATGGGGTATATAGAGAGCATCAATGGGGTATGTAGAGAGCATCAAAGGAGCATCAATGGGGTATATAGAGAGCATCAAAGGAGCATCAATGGGGTTTATAGCAAGCATCAAAGGAGCATCGTTGGGGTATATAGATAGCATCAAAGGAGCATAGATCGGGTTTAGACGGAGCATCCGAACTATGCTAGGGGGCATCAAAGGGGCATAGAGGAGATTCAGGGGGAATACACTAGGCATTTCGTAAGAATAATGGAGGCATAACCAGATAATCATTTTGATTCCACTTAGCCATCCAACAGGCATATTAGGGTAATAATGTTGGGATATTGGGGGTATCTAAGGCCAAAAAGGTGCTACTTGAAGTATATTACGGGAATAATTGGGGTTTCGTTTTAGACCATTCTCCTAATATCACACCCCCGGAATCATTTTAGTTTTCAGTGTAAGTTGGCGTGGATCTCCGTCGGAGCGCGGGTTATGGACACAGCTCTATATTATGTCGTTTAATGCAATCTATGCAGCTTTCATGATTATTTTACAGCGTACCAAACGGAAATTTGCTACGAAAATAATAACTCAATTTATTTCATTAGAAAATATTGCCCGCTCTAAGTTTATGCGGCGTTTTTCGGTTATATCAATTCCGTGTCATGATCTGCCACTGATTCGCAAGTTGATTGATGCGCTTCATTGTCTTGCATGACTCTCATGTCCCCTACAACATCTGCAGGATGCTTCTCTCAGCATCCAGGAACGCGTCTCACTGTAATTAAGGCCTCGCAACGTTATTCATTTCGGAACATATCAAAGCGTCTCGTGTCACGATCGTAGGCGCTGCTACCGATTCAGATAATTAGTTATTTCCTCGAGGTACTGGGCATTGTGCCAAACAAAGTGCATAGTTCTCGATCGTTTCAATTGTTGTTGCACAGCAGGAGCCCAAGCTGCAGGTCTGTCTTATCGATTGGTTGGTGGCTCCAAAAATAGATCTATATATAATGACTAAAGTGACCGACGTGGTGCAAACTCAGGCCTTTGAACTTATGTACCGGCGCTGCGGAAGAAGAGCTCGGTCATAGGCTTATTTGTGGGTATTGTGATGCAGCGACCAGAATGGTGTTTAGGATATTGATGGCGGCTGTGCTGCTCGTGGAGCTGTGATACTAAGAGTGGCTATGATACTGGATGAGGTACTAGCAGTTACTATGATACTGGCTGCGATTGTGGCTGTGATGCTGGTGGTAACTATGATACTGGCGATAACTGTGATTCCTTGACTGTTGGTAGGTGTGATGATAGCTTGGCGGGCCATGTTCCCAATAACCACAACGTACAGAATGTGGCAACAAAAAATTTTCTTCCGTGCGGAAAAAAGGCTCATATTAATGTAACTCTGACTGGCGAAGAGTTTTGTTTATTAATAATTTTACTGCCTAATGCCTTGATGTGGGTATTTGTATGTCTCACGCACGTTGCGGGCGAATCTTTCGGAACGCTTCTGGGAACATTAATTCGATGAGCACGAATCCACTTGGGCGAACACGGACCCTTGGGTTTTCCAGATATGCACCGATGGCCACACCAGGTTTATTGGCTTGCAACTGACATAAAGAAGACTGATTGTACGAGTCACGAGTCACTCGTAAATGCATGCATTGTCACGGAGCCAACATTTGGATACTGTTCGATGTTGCTCTCCCTCTATCGGTCTTCTCAATCAATTTTCAAATGAACACGGCTAGGACTTCGATCTGCATAATGCATTAACGTGCTAATGGAAGTTGTGTATATGCCCGATGAACTGTCCACTGCGTGCATAGACGCTGGATGTTTTATTTGTCACGAAATGTGTCCTGCCTGGGACTTTTTACATGTCAAATCGCAAGACAATTGGATATGTATATTTATAAGTTACATATGCCACTATTTGGTGACAAAATATGTATCAGTAGCATATAGACATGCATATCACATGTATCAGCACTAGAGATGTCAATCGGATACCAACTTTTCGGTATACCGACACCAAACCGATACAAAATTGGTATTTGGCATTTCATTCCTAATATTTTCGGTATTTTGTTGGTATTATGAATCCCGGTAGTGCATAAAAGGCTGTAAATTTCGTAGAAATTCGGTATTTCTATCAGCTCTCCAAGCTGGTTCGGTTTATGGTATTTTATCACGGTTTTGGTTGGCATTTGGTTTGGTATCAGCATGTATCAATGTCCCGATTACCTGCAACTGACATCACTACATAGTCAGCACCCAAAACCACACTCTTTCCTCCGTCACTCTCAGCATGCTATGATCATCAGCTATTTTCCGGCCACCGGCGGGCGATATTCCCGTGACCGAGCTGAAACCCAGCTCAGGCGGAGGGTCGGCATTGGCCACTGGACGGGTGCAGGGTCAGTTTGGAGCGGAGCGTCGCTCGGTACGGGCAGTGGTGAGGGCCGACGGACTCCGACCGGCTGCAGTTGGGTGACGGTAGGGGTGAGGAGTGGGGTGTAGGGAGATAAGTGCAGAAGGTTTTAGAGACTTAGGAGGGTCGTAAAGTGGGGTGCATGGGAAGGAGGGGATACATTTATCCCATGATAAAACACAGCAATATAAAAACATCGATAGCTCGAAATATTCTATTATACTGCGTGCCTCAAGCTATGATGAAGCTATTTTTGTTTCAGCAATAGCATCACGAATGCCTCCTTGAAGCTAACAAAATGGGGTATAACCGGCGAGTGTCACAATTCATCTCCAGCCTCAGGATTGGACCGATAACCAGTTACGTTTTAGTAGCTGCGGTTGTAATGACACTGTCACTACACCTTCTCAAGGAGCGTAAAATCTACTCTGTATCAGGTAAGGAAGCGGTTGCTAATCATCCTGTTTTTAGATTAATGAATACCCATGCTTCGGTATCAGTATAGCAAATCAATAGGGACCCCTGTTAAAGGCTTACATGTCGTAAGCTCTTGCAACATTAGGCGAAATCATTCATTAACATCTTGGTTAACCCGATGTATTAGATTATCATTTTATGGATTTGGCTCCCAATTATTTACACATGAGTGACAGTGGATGAGATAATACCGTTGTACTCGAAAGGGCAAGTACCAAACGAAACGGACACTTTTGCAGAGAATTTCCAAGATTCTACGGTCGAAAGTAGGACTGCGACCAAATCCACCTCTACAGAGATACGTGGAATAAACCAAAAAGGTGCGGGCGAATGAAAGCATTCATCTAATTAATACCATCAGCATAAGATAACCAACATTTGTGTGTTAACCAACTTTTTTTTTAAATAATCATTTTACGAATATAAATATACAAATTCTCACGTTTTTACTTTACAAAAGGCTACACATTCCATAATCTAAAGTTTCCAAGCTGCATACCCTCTTGTATATCCTATGCAATGACCTAGGAATAATAAACGCCATCGTAATATATCTAACGTAATATTACAATTAAATGAAAGTGTAATATAGGAATAATTAGTTTCACGCACACCAAGGATTATTTTTTTTTTCGAACTACTCCGCCACCCATTATTAGGTGACCAGGAGTGCCCCCACCCTCATCCCAGCGACTCACAGCACCTTACGTTAACCCGCGCGGGGCTGGGGTCTCCAGCCGAACGCGCGGGGCTGGGGGGGGGTAAATTTTACCCCCCCTGTTATCTCCCGAACTAATGGTCCGATTTGGAAAATTCAAACGCCAATCGAAAGCTCTCATCACGAACTACTAAAAACATGTACTTAATTTAAAGTTTGAGGTCAAGGTCAAGGTCAGGTCAAGGGTACAAATTGCAAGTTTCTACAGTATCGGCCTTGCACCGTAGTTGCCGAAGAATGGAGTCATGGACTGAGACTGATCGCCCAAAACGTGTTCTTAGGCTACCAAGACAATATTAGTTGCATACAATATCATTCAGAGGTCAAGGTCAAGGTCAGGTCAGGTCAGGTCAGGTCACCAAAAAACAAAATATAGAAAAGGGCATGTGCGACACATGTTTTATGGGTCATTTTACTCATAGAATTCAATAGGCACACTCAATAAGTGATATGGACCACCTCTGGATGAATTTCAGGTCGAGGTCAGGTCAAGGTCAGGTAAAGTGAGGTCAAATTTTGAAGTTGGTTGTTAAGGCCTAAAAAGGTGTCTATCTGATGCAGTTTTTCACGGCAAATCGAATGGTGCTATTTTTGTTTCCGTACGAGGTCTAGAACTTCCAAAAAAGTCATTTTTCAAAAAATTTGTGTGTCCTGACGTCATAAAATTTTGAATAACTCCTACATTTTTGAACCGATTCTTCTAAAATTTGGTATGTAGGTGCACATAGACCACTTCTCTGACATATATTCCGGTTTTTTCGATAGACTCAAAATTTTGGATTTTATAATGATTTTTCCAAAAAAGTCAGTTTTTTGAAAAAATTTAGGCCAAAATCCAAAATTTTCAAACAACCGAGATAGCCATTTGATAGACAAAGTAAAATGACGTATAACCTTTTTTGTTACGTCTTGATTTCTTTAAAAATGAAGATGTTAGCGGCGTTTGAACTTTTGCCGTTTTTGAGGCGAAAATGGCGAACATGACGTCACTAAAACGTCAATTTCTCAAAAATTTCCGACGGATTTCGCTCAAATTTTCAGGGAACGTGTCAAATTGATGTAAGAAAAGGTACTGAAAGTTTGGCGGCGCTGCGCGCCGCCGTTTTTGAGATATCGCAAAAATTCGCGAGGGGGGGTAAAATTTACCCCCCCCAGCCCCGCGCGGGTTAACACCAGACAAAAATAAAAAAGGATAAGTCGCGGCACTCCCAGCTAGGAAAATTGAAAAAAAAAACAAAGTAAGCAAAAGAAGTGCGGGAACCGGTTAATAAATAAAGAGAGCCAAAGTAGTCATTGCTAGCACTGAAAACAAGTTGAAAGAACGTTATGCAAAAGCATCTTAAAATATTCCACGCTTAGGTTTTTTGGGTATTAGGGTAAACTGGCTTAGAGGCGGAGCAGAACGTCTGGTTCATGAAGAACGCACACAGTGTTTCACATAGACCGAAGACACGTGCTGCTTCTTCGCGTGCAGTCTTAGCGGCCCCAGGGGGCTTCAACTCGACCAACACCGGTTCTTCTTCGTTCTCCCTAGTCACGTGATATTACGTCACACAAAGCGCGCGAAAGATAAACCTTTGAAGGTTTTGCACGAACTAGCATCGGGCTTAAGAAGAAGGGGTTGTGGTTTAATCAGTGTAATGGCTTTCATCAAGACCACGCCCGCGGTACCACATTCTAGCGTCCACCGGAAGCGATCGCCATTTTTCGATCGCGTTGGATCACGCTTTGTGCAGTGACGAGCGGCTGGTGCAAGATTGGGTGAATGGCAAAGTACGAATATTGAAGAACTGAAATAAGGTTAATTTTTGGCTTGTCAAGTGTTGTGTATTATTTATATTACTTGTGATTGACAATAATAAGCAATATCACAATGCTCTTCAAATGCATGGATGAATGCATTGGATGAAGACAATTCATATGCAAGACCAATCAATGCATAAGTATTTATATGTTGTATAAATGCCCCATAGCTAAATTATGCATGGTATTCGAATAATCTTCCAAATGAAATATCAGGAATAGAATCAGCCTGTCATTTTGGGGTCAACTGATTTAGATATAAATTTGGCTGATT